ACTTATTGTAAAATCAAATTGGCTTTATCGTCGCCTTTAAAATACCGTTTTTTCATGCTAAATAAAGAGGTTTTAATTTAACGTAAATTCGTGTTTTTCAAAAAACGTAAGATATTGTAACTTTTGTAAGATTTTAAATTTCTCCCTTTCGTTCTGTGGTTGTGAACCCAAAAAGTCGAAAAGTACCTTTTAAATCGGCCCAATACATAATAAGGTGCTTTATTTGAAGATTTGAACTCGTAACTGCTATTTCAAACTATTTATATCAACGACTCATAAAAATAGACAAATTTGGCTACTAAGTAGCTAAAGAGGCAAAACTGCTAGCGATATTCAAGCTAAAACATATCGATAGCACACACATCGGCTAGCATTGCTTGCCTATCCCGATTTGGTCACACTATTTTATCGTACTGTGTTTTTGCTGGACAAATATCGCGTCGTATTTTTATTTCGTCACAAGAAAAGGGCATTAGAAACCCATTAAAACGATAGAATTGACTTAAATTTAGTGACAAACGGCAGATAATAACACAATGGGTCGTCGCTGCTGCGTGGCCACCTGCCCGTCGACGTCGCGTCTGCTGGAGCACCACGGCGTGACGTACCACTCCTTCCCCCTGGATCCCATCATCCGGGCCATTTGGATCAAGAACTCGCGCATCAGCCTGGAGCGCCAGATCACCAAGAGCGTCCTCGTCTGCTCGCGCCACTTCCGCCGCCTGGACTTCAACACGATCCGCAATGGCAAGTATCTGCTCAAGCCGCGCGTCTTTCCCACCGTCTTCCCGTGGGGTAAAATGGACTCCTCGGAGATCGAGGCGGACCACCGGGCACTGCAGCACGCCAGCGTGGAGGGCACGACGGGGGCACCGGGAACTGCTCAATCGTCAGCCAACGAGGATGTGATCAAAGCCACGGTGGATCAAATAGTGGCACAAATCCTGGCGGAGACGGCCGAACGCAATGCCGCTGCTGCCGCGGCTGCTGCGGAGAAGGCCAGAAAAGAGCAGGAGGAGAAGGCTTCAGGAAAAACAACTGCTGAAGCCAACAAAGATGCAACCAAGACAGTTGTGGAGGAATCCCCGGCTACTCCTGGACCCTCGACCGGTGAAGCTGCAGCCCCGGCGGCCGAAACTCCCTCCAACTCGAACTCGCCGCTTCCCGGCTCACCGGCCAAGTACAGCAACCCACACAACCTGACCATCGGCGCCCGTCTGGAGGCCCTGAGTGTGGAGGGCAACTGGTTGCCCGCCCGCATCGTCGAAGTCAACGAGACGGAGCAGACGCTGCTCGTGCGCTTCGAGCGCAACCACAAGCTGAAGGTGTCGCCGTCGACAAACGGCAGCTTCCAGGAGTGGATGGCCATCAAGTCGGAGCGTCTGAGGCAGCGCCTCAGCACCCGCATCCTGCCCGTCTTCGAGCTGGATGAGAAGTGCATGGCCCGCTGGTCGGGGCCGCGCAAGTTCCCGGGCACCATTCGCAAGCTGCTGGGCAACGACACCTACGAGGTGCTCTTCGACGACGGCTACATCAAGAACGTGCGCGCCGTGCACATGAACAAGCTGCCCAAGCAGCTGCCAGCCGTCCAGGCACCGGATGTGGCCGCCTCCAAGGTGCCCATTACTGTTGGAACCCCCGTTGCCACTGTATCTCTGGCCCCCAAAAGAGCCAGCACAGGCAGCGGTAGTGGAGCCAGCGGCGTCTCGAGCAGCAAGAAGAGCAAGACCACGCCACAGCGCAGGGATTGGCCGCTACTCGACATGGCCAGCCTGGATATATGTAAGTTGGTCCGGGGCAGCAGAAAACGGAAGTCAATATGTCTTACCCTTAAGTTAAGTTCTTGTGAAATAGTTTCCTTTCCCCTTTCCTTTCGGCTTTATAAAACAAGCTTGACCTTAAATTACATTACTTAGATGTATTAAAAATTGGTATATCAAATTAATAAGTAATCAAAACTATAAATCGTTTATTTGTTTTAATGAAGTCAGTATACTATATATTAAGTTTATAAATATAAATTTCGATGAGAGAAATTTAAGAAATAATTATAAGATTTTGGCTGTTAAAATACCCTAATGTATTTCTTTTGAAACCCATAATAAGCGATTCTTAATTAACCTTTGCATTCTGCATCCAACAGCTTCCCTGGGCCTTCCAGAGATTCCGCACGATGGTGAGTGGACGTGCCACTGGGTGAACGACCAGCCGATCGGAACCGAGGGCTTCCTGATCGTGGGCGAGCACCAGAAGCCGACGGTTATCGTGCAGGACTGGCGCCTGCCGCCCGGATGGATCAAACACATGTATCAGCGCTCAAATGTGCTCGGCAAGTGGGATGTCATTTTGGTTTCGCCCAGCGGCAAGCGTTTCCGCTCCAAGTCCGACTTGAAGTTGTTCCTCGAGTCGCAGGATTTGGTCTACAATCCGGATGTGTATGACTTCAGCATTCATCGTCGCCGGGCCAAGGACATCAATGCGTATGTATACACCCACGACTACAATCCGCAGCCACCGCCCAAGCCCAGGTCCATGGATGTGTCAATGGACTCCACGCTGGACCAGAGTAACACAACGCAATCCTCGTTGCCTTCTACCCCGATGCCGGTTAAAGAAAGTCAGTACATGGAGGCCCCGGTGGCCTCGCTTATGCCGCCAGCAGAGCTAATGTCGCCGCAAGCTCACCTCACCGATGAGGCAAAGGCCAAGACAACCCCAGAACTACTGGAAGCCATTGAGGGAGGTCAAGCTCAACTGCTACAAGGAGATCCTCCTCTCGTGGAGAATGGATTTGGTAAGTCGAAATATAAGAAATCCATTTTTAAAGTTATTTTGTTAACCTAATTTCAAATTTAATATTTCACTTTCTGTTTACCAAATTCTTATCTATTTTAATTTAAAATTTCAACTATTTCGTCATTAATTAAAATAACTATTATTATTTTGTGCTTCAGCTTTTATTGGCGGTCTGAAGGTCCAAATCCAGGACAATCTGTATGTATGTCCGCGCGAAGGTTGCGGCAAGACATATCGCAAGGAGGACTTTTTGCTTATCCATATTCGCCATTATCATAAGGAGTTCGCCGAGTAAGTGCCTTGTATACAAAACCATTGATAGATTATATCTTAATTTGTCTTAACAGATACGTGAGCCACTGCCCCAAGATGCAGGAACTGGCAGTCAAGCGTACGCATCCCTCATCCATCGAGCAGGGCGATGCGGTGCCCAAGAACCAAATACCAAACCAGCAATTCTTTGCCAAGCTGCACCAGCAGGATATGCAGCAATCGAGGTCATTTAAACGTCAATCGCTCCCAGCTACGGTCACATCCCCCGGAACGCCGGGAACTCCACCTGGAATATCGCCTTCTAAAGGACTTTTATCTCCCAAGATGGAGCCACCAGCCACAATGACGCCCACTGTTGAGAGTGGCATTAAAAAAGAAGATGTTACCCTGGAGGCTGGAGCTGCCTTCTCGGTGAACTCCTCCCTAAATCGCTCCTGCAAGCGGGCTCGTTTCTCGCCCACCAAACGCCCCTCTGGCTCGAGAAAGAGCAACCGTCAGCGCTCTCAGCGTCGCAGCAATTTAACGGACAGCCTGGCTGGTCATTCCTTGAACGAACCAGACGCGGAAGAGACGCGACAATCCTTCAACACGCCCACTCCGGATGGACGCAGCGATCCGAAGAAACGACGAGTTGGTGCGGCAGCCACTCCAATCACCTCGATTGACTCACCAGCCACAGGAGACTCGATATCCACGCCGTCGTCTAATGACCAGGCGGACATTAATGCGGCTCTGGCGCCCCCGCCTGCGGATGTACTCAGCAAAGCTCCGCAGTACATCAAGGAGAACGGCGAACTAATCCGAATCGTGCGTATGCGGCAGGAGGAGATCATCAACTGCATCTGCGAGTACGGCGAGGAGGACGGTCTGATGATCCAGTGCGAGTTGTGTCTGTGCTGGCAGCATGGCGCCTGCAACGGCATCGTCAAGGAGTCGGATGTGCCGGACAAGTACGTTTGCTACATCTGTCGCAATCCGCAGAGGGGACGAGATTCCATGAGGTTTAAGCACGACCAGGACTGGCTGTTCGAAGGCAAACTGCCGGCGGCCGCCTACCACAAACCAAATCCACAGGCCACTAAGCAATCCGAGATACTGAAGCGGTCACACACTCTAACCGGCAATTTACTGGACGCCAGGCGATCCATGCACTCGCTGCTGGTGAAGATCAACATTGCCCGCAACCGCTGTCACCCGAAGCTCTACCTCTGGGCTAAAAAGTGGGACGAGGACAACGTGGATGCTTCTGCTGTGACGCCTGTTAAACGCACAAAGACGGAGCAACCTGACCTTCCAAATGTTCCGCAACCAGAGGCCGCTATCGATCCCGAGGAGTGCCAGTACCGCCTAATAGAGCACGTGAAGGTACAGCAGGCTTTGGTCATGAATCGGCTCGATGACATCGAGGCGGAAATGAATGGTTAGTAGTCCCAGACTCACATTGCATATGAAAAAGTATCAAATTTAATTCTTTTTAGAACTTGAAAAAGAGGACGACCTCGAGGACTTAAAAGATGGGGACATCTCTACCACCAAAGAGGCCCTCGCAACGTTCATCAAGGAGCTTGAGACAATGAAGCGCCTCGCCAAGCTCAACCAGGTGGCCAATCTGAAGCAAACCCTTAAGGAATCTGCCCCCAATCAGTAACCATTTCATTTAAGAAGTTTTAAAGTAATGGAGAGTCATGGAAATGGATTGATTCCATGATTGATATCTAGAATTTTTAGATGAAAGGCCAAATTGCTTCTTTTGTTGCTATCCTTTATTTCCTAGATGCAGAATTTTACTCTTCCCTGTACAATCCCAGAATATAATAGAATTTTGAATTGAAAGTCAGTCTTAATTTGCAGTAAATTTGTAATTTAATGGTTTATTAGAGAGCCAAGCTGTTCGTTGTGAGAAGCTACACTCCAAGATCTAGCCATGTTATTCAAACCGGGACGTGGTTGGCAGTAATGTCTCGTTGGAGTTATCTTTGCATGATAGCTCTCCTCATCGTGATGTCCGATGAAGAGGAGACTTCTTCCATCGGCCCACAGATGAGTGTATCTACGACAACGAAGAAGGCAATTGTCTACCGCTCCCGATATCCTTATGTAGTCTCTATCGGTGAGAACTTAAAAGGATACTACAAGCACCTCTGCGTGGGCGTTATCATTTCGGATGAGTTTGTGCTTACTGCGGCCCACTGCATCAAATCGAAGAAGACTCCGCCACCAAGAATGTTTGTGGCCGCTGGCGCCGATATGCTCAACAGTCAAAAGCAAACCCGCTTTTTCGTCGTCGAAGTACGGTGGCATCCCAAGTTTAAGTTGCTTCAAGGCCACGACATTGGCGTCTTAAGGGTCTTCCCGAAATTCCAGCTGGACAATATTCGATTCCGGAGTATTAGCTTCACAGTCAAGCCGCAACAGGAGAGTGGCATAAGGGCCAATCTAATTGGCTGGGGACGTGTGAAGATCAGCATGCGAATAGGCATTCAGGAGATTCCCTTTCAGACGATCGAAAACGATGTGTGTAAGAGGAAGCACCGATTTGTGTTCCTCACTGGAACAGACATCTGTGCAATACACTTGAGAGGATCCAAAGGACCCTGCGATGTGAGTGGAAAACATACAGATATATGCAGAAAAAAAGTATTCAATCTGATCTATTCGAGGACACATTAGGGAATTTTACAGAAATCTCTTCCAACAATATTCAAATTTCAATTCGTCCTAAGAATTTAGCGAGCTTTAACCTACCGCAAAGTATTCAATTAATTTAAAAAAAAAGCGTTGATTACAAAATTTGAAAAAAATCAACAGTGTCTGACTTTTTTGATAATGTCATTATTTTTTTTTATAATTTTAATTTTAGTCAAATTATTAGTAGCACGATTAAATATATAAAATATCAACGCAGCATTACTCCATGAGTTCAAATCTTTAAATTGTGATTTAATGTTTTCGGAGTGTTTCCAAGTAAATTTTCTCCAGCTTGATAAATACTTTACTGCAATGATTTTAAATTTAATAATTTATTTTGGCAGAAAGGGATTCCTGGTACACGAAACCGACACAACTATTTTAAGTACTAATATTAACTTTTCCTATACTACAAATTTGTGCTTTAGGGAGACTCGGGAGGTCCTTTGGTGAGCGTCGTGAAAGAGAAGCTCTACGGCTTACTTTCCTACGGAAGAAAGGCCTGCACGCCATTGAAGCCGTATGCTTTCACTCGTGTTAGCATATACTCGGACTGGATTAAAAAAACCATGGAAGAAATGAAAGTACATATTGTAAGGGTTAATCGAACTAGATGGTATGATTTGAGAAGCGGTGCGCTTAAAAAAGTAAAAATAATTAAATAAATCCAACAGAGAACGGCTGGACGTTTTTATTTGTACTGTACATAAGCCAAAGGAGATTGCCTTTAAATGTCTGTTCAGAAAAAAACAAATTATCAATAAAGCTCGATTAATTTTTAAATAAAAAGGAATAATTTATATTTACTGGTGTCTATATGTGCATTTTTACATGTGCGCGGCGTTTTTTGGGTCATAGAATAATGGACTAATCAAAATTTTAATTATTTCTGAAATCCGTTTTTGAAATGATAATATTTCTGGATCTCAGAAAATTTGAGCAGAAGATGTGTAAGTATTTGACAGTTATAATTCTAAAACGAAGGAGATTTAAACATTGATGTTTCGTCGATATTGCATATAGGTGTGAATGGCCTGTTATCCGATTCACTTTCGTGCCGATAAGTATCGCCATGTTATCAGTATGAGCTTTTTGGCCAGTAGGTGGCGCAGCTATTCCATCCCTAGGTTAGCGTTTATCAAGAAATCAAAACAAAACCCAAGCAACAATTGTATATAAAATAAAACCTTCTGCAGTCTCATTTTTATTCCGTAAGTGATCGCTCATGTAGAACCCCCACCAGAATCGCAATGTGGTCAAGGATTTACAAATTGTTTCGTCCTCCCAGACACTTCGAAATGCCCGATTCACCGCCGTCGGCCAGCAATTGTGAGCAGGCTTTGATCCAGCTGAAGAACTTTGGGTACGCCTTTGACGGAGGTGAGTGGATGCTGATGGATGCCAGCCATAGTTGATACAACCATCAAGATGATCATTAATCCCCATCTTCTCCTGCAGACGGAGTCCTGCGCAAAATCGATCCCGCCACAGGAGAACCCGGCACGGAGCAGTTTTCCTATAACGTCAGCAACGATGCCAACGAGAACGAGAATCACTACCAGAAACTGGCCAACGTATGTACCGGGTTTCTTCTTAAGGGACTACTTGGGTTTTCCAAAAAATTAATTTATTTTGTATATTTTTTAATAGCTGAATTTGCCTTAATTTTACCTCAAAATGTTAAGTCCATGGGATCTATACTCTCGTAGATATTGGCTAGTCCTCTCTAAACTTATTTTCCCAATTTTGTATACATTCTTAAGATGACCAAATATTCGGATTAAAAACGTGATTTAAATATTTTATTTATAACCAATTTAAAAATGAGAAAAAATATGTCTTTTAATGGTGTTGTTTTTTTATCTTTGATAATCACATGATCCAACGCATTAAAAAAAGCTTTGCTCTTCTTAAAAATATAATTTCATTTCTAAAACATTTTTGAATCGTTACAAAAAACGAAATATTTATTTATATTATTAATTTAATATTAACTTTGCCCCATTTTGGTTTTAAAGATACTTTTTAAGGTCTTCCGTTATCTCTATCTTTGTTTTTTAATTTCTTTCGCAATTTATACATTATAGACTTAGTTACTCTAATAAAATGAATTATAATGTTAACCGAAGTATAATTTATTTTAGAATTTTTAAGAAGTTTCATCTCTTTTAAGTCAATACCGGAATTAATTAATAAATTAGTATTTTTGTATTGTTTTTAGCAAATCCCGGAAATTGTCTACGCTCTGCTTGAGAAAAATGGTCTAAGTCGTACCTATATTCCATTAAACAAGGCTCCAGAGCGTTCGTCCTTTATCTACTCGCAGCCGGCAAAGTTGTCGCAGTCCAAGAAGTTGTTAGTCCTTATCCATGGCAGTGGACTTGTTAAGGCAGGCCAATGGGCCAGAAGGTTTGTATGATACCAAATTATAAGAGTCACATGCATATGAGCCACTATACACGGTGCAAGACAAATAATTTGTTAATGTGGGTAATGTTTAAATAGTTACAATACTTTTTTTGAGTTTAAATTTTCTAAATGGGCGACCACATTCTAAAAAAAATTCAAAACTTTTGAGAAATTTTGACCTTTGTAAATTAGGTGTCCCACTGAAAGATTTTGACTCTATTTATGGTAATTTTATTTTTATTTCTTATTGGAACCGCTTAAGACATTATTTAGTCATGAAAATGACTCATTTAAAGTATATAAGCTTTAAGGGAAAAATACATTTAATAAACGGAACTTTGTGAATCTAGAGCAAAGGTTATCAGAGTTTTTCAGTCGAGCATATAGTGGAATTTTTGAAGCCTCTTGAAACCCATTAAAACTGCAATAAGTAATTGCTCTCTTGGGAACATGTTTTGAGAATTTATAAACTTATTTAATTATAGCTTAATCATAAACAACTCGCTGGACCACGGCTCTCAGCTGCCTTATGTGCGTCAGGCGCAGAAGCTCGGATACGATCTGCTTATCACAAATACCAACGATTGTACACGATTCTACAATGGAAAGGATCATTTAATCGAGGGCCTTGAAACTCCTCTAAAGCACACAAAGTATGTGTGGAAAAACATTGTGTTGCCCTCGAAACCGGAGAGTGTGGCTATCGTGGCCCACAGCTATGGTGGCTGCCTGACATTAGATCTTGTAAGAATAAATATTACAAAAAAATAAATTGTGATATCATATAATTAAACAATTACTCTTTATAGGTTGAAAACTTTTTGGATTTCTTTAAGGAATCTGTTTTTGCGATTGCCTTTACGGATGCGGTCATGGGGAGTCCCCAGTCCAAATACAGGGATTACATGTGTGATGTAACCTGCGATTGGGTCGCCAGCAATACACCTTTGGATACACCCGTCTCACAGTCGAAGAAAAGCATCCGAAGGGTTTCCGCTGGACACACCAAACATGAGTGGACCTCTTATTCGGCCATCGATTCCATATTCAAGTTCATTGAGGAAAAGTATGAGCATCGCCAGAACAAGAAATAACAGCCCCAAATCTACTTGTTAAAGAATTTTTGTACTTTCCTTGTGTAGAAAATATCTCGGAGATGTGAATATAAATTATATTTTTACCGCCTGCGTCCATCTGACACTGATCCCTTTTCTCTAAGGACAAGCGCAAACTATCGATTTGCAATGCATAAATCAAGCCAGTGGTCAGTGTCCGAATGTGTCACTAACACTTACATCAGGGCAATTTAATTTGATTTTCGGCACTTTGGCACATTCCGTGTGAGTTAATCATATTGATGGCTGATGTATTGCCAGCGATAAAACAAAAGTCTCCCGCTTGGCCCATCAGCTCAGTAAAAAGCGACGTCCGAGACCAAAACAAATCCCCCAACGAAGGGCGGATAAGGAAGGGCTGTCAGCTTGGCAGCTGCATCAAATTCCTTGGGGTTTCCTCTGAAGACCATTTTCCATGAGCTGGTTACCCCTGCTTTTTTCTGGTCCATATCGCTTAACTAAATACGTCATAAAAAGGAAACGGGTTTTTTTCCATGCCTCAATGGGGATAAACATTCAGAAATGCATTGAGTTTATTAAGGGTTTAATCATTGCTTTGAAAACTTAACTTTTAAACAGATTGTAGAAACTATTTTCATTAATATCTTTGGCTTAAAAGTACGCAAATTTATTCGAAATTATTCGTGTTTTAGTGTTTTAGAAAATATATTAATACTTTGGCTTCAGACAGGGAAATCTTAGTTATTTAAACAAAATTGAAGCCAAAAAAGAGTGGAAAAAATACGAACCATGTTTATTTTTGCAAAATATTAAAAAAAAAATGACAAAATGTAATTTTTAATTTAAAAAACATATCTAATTATTAACATTTTTTTAAATCAACAATAAATTTTTATAACTTATGTTATCAATTTTTATTATAGAAAATTAAAAATAATTATTGCTTCTCAGATACATACGTTAGAGATATAACCATTTTTAAAACCGTTAGGCTACTGAAAATGTTTTGTACTTTCTGCTTCCAAAATGAACCTAAAACAGATAGCCCATTAAAATATCACTTATTTCTAAAGAGAGGTGCATCAAATAAAATCTTATTTCAGAGATAAAAGTAAAGTTTAGTAATGGAAGAATGACAGCTGATTAATTATGTGGGAACATTCATAATCCCCTTTGTGAAACTTTAAAGACTTTGGCTCACCTTCAGCCGTACAGTTTTCATTTGGCAGGAGCACAAAAAGTGCAACCAGGATATAAGTGAAAGAGATGGAGAAAGGGATGAGGAAAGAGACGGAGACGCTTGTCTTTAGCCTTAAAACGAACTTAATACCCACAAAGTGAACCAGGACCCAAACTCAAATAGCAAGAAGGCCCGAGAACGTTGAGAGTGGGTGGCCAGTGGATGAGCAGTGGGATGTGGCAGGGTCCTGGCAACCCTACAACTTCGCCAGGACCCTCCACCTCGCCCCCAGGATGCGGATACCGCCCACTACCACTCCCACTTCCACTCCCGTATACATTATCGCTGTCATGGCCGCAGTCATGGCTTCTGCTCCACCTTAGACATTTTTATATGTATTCAACATCGTTGTCGTCGTCGTCCTATGGCAGCTTGCTATCTACACTTTGACTCCACGGCACCCTACACCCACACACACACCCATGCACACGCACACACACCCATACACACACACACAGCCGACAAGGATGGCATCATGTGGCTTAGAGCGAGAGGGCCGAGGTTCGTGGCGCCGTCGCCAGCAAAAAGCTTTGCACGAGTTCAGGAATGGGTCATGCGCCTGGAGCCCGCATCTAACATATATAACTCGGAGATGTACACGCAGATAATACATACGGCAGGGCAGTAAATAAGCCGAGGCTGCCTATGTAGTCGTCCATTGGTTAAGTAAATAAAAACAAATGCCTCAGCTTTGGTGACATTTTACTTTAAAGTCGAACCCAATTCGCTTACAATGCTCCCCATGCCGGAAGGTCCTCGTGTCCTTAACATCACACCACAAAACAATGTCGAGCAATTACTTAAAATAATCCTTTTGCATGTGGTTATTTGATCAAATCTTAAACGGCAACGCATCCCTTACATGTCTCAGATGGCCAAGGATTTGAACTCCGTAATCCCAAACCCTTTAACTATAGGATTTCTTGCACATCAATTGCTTGAAATAAAGTTGCTAAAGATTTTCATTTTAGATTGTATAGACA